TTCTCTAGAAACAGAGCATGAAATTGGGTCCAAGTAAGTGGAGGTAAAGCAGAAGATCTACATTCCATATAAACTCTCCACCACTGCTCAGCCTCACCTTAAAGTTAGAAAGAGACAAACTCAACCCCATGCTGATGAACAATACCCAAATTATGAAGCCTCTCATAGCAATCCAGAATGAACTCATAAGCATCCTCATTCTCAGAACCAAGAAACACATGAGGCTTTAGCTTCAGAAACTTAGTCAACATTTCATGCTCATTACCAGTCATAACAAAACCCAACAAAGGACGGAAGAAAGCATCATTACCCCTAGTCCCACCCACCTTGGGCGCAGTGCTAGTAACAGGAGGATTAGTAGGAGCTTGAGTTGCTTGAGCAGAAAGAAGCACTCCATGACCAACCAATCCCTTTAAGAACGACATGATCTATTGAGCTAACACTGGATCGAAAGGAGGAACACATGTAGTCTCAGCCTGCACCTCTCCCTCTTGTCCCAAATCCTCAACATCAACATCAATATTCTCATATATCTCTTCATAATGGACATGAGGGTTCTCATTCATAAGAGCATTCTCATCAAGAGCTCTATTTCCAGCAGGTTCTACTCTTCCATGGCCTCTACCCCTATCTCTTTCTTTACCCCTGCCTCGACCGCAACCTCTCGCTGTAGATTCCTCGACCAGAGCATTGACGGGAGCTACGAGCCTAACGTCGTTGAATCTAGTATTAACCATCTGCGAACAGAAGAGTGAAGGAGGTTAGATACTAATTTGAATCGCCAGATACTAATTGGAATAAAATCATAGCACGAAAGGAGACAAGAGAAAAATAGAGATTTCCTAAAGTCTTATTGCCTCTCGAAGAAAAGTAAAGGGGTCCCTGTACCGTTCTGTGAGACTCTACTAGACTCGTTTTGGTACATCGAGATCAACGACCCTAGGCTCTGATACCAACTTTGTCACGACCCAGACCGTCGTGATTGGCACCCACACTAACACTCCGGTGGGAGAACCACTACTACAACCCAACCAAGCAAATAATCTAAAAACTAAGGCATTTAAATCAAATACTAAGGAAAATAAAAATAGAGTTCTCATAAACTCTAACAAAAGTCTAACAATAATAACTAACAATGCGGAAGAATAACCTAGAACCTGAAAGTCAATGTACCAAAACATTCTAACAATGAACCAAGTCTAAACAAGAAAGTGATACAACCCCAACTAATGAGCTAATCAACTAGCTAAAATAAATGTCTAAGTCCGAAAATGGTGGACATAGACGAAAGAGTATTCCATGGCAGCCCGAAAGAATAGGTTCACCCTTGAATTCGAATGATCACTGATCTTCTAAGCGAGGTCTGTCAATAGCCGCTTGATGATGCCCCATACTCAACAAAAATAAAAGCAAGTGCAGAATCAGTACACAACCACAGTGTACTGGTAGAATCACGCAGTTATCCTACTAGTGCAACATAAACAAGTCAAACAACATTATAATCACATGCATATATATCAACAAATACAATATTATCAGCATTCACGAACAACGAACAACGAACATTTATATGTCAAATCATTAGTCCTCTTATGGAACCCAAACCCAAACAGTTAGCATGCCGGAACGTGGCAACCGATCCCATATTTATGCTGGAACGTGGCAACCGATCCCAAAGTTATGCCGAAACTTGGCAACCGATTCAAGTTAGTTATGTCGGAACGTGGCAACCGATCACATTCACACACCATAATCACAATCACAAGTATATCATCAAGATCATACATTTAAGTCATGATTTCATGGCATTCATCAATTCTCTATCTCATTTACAACAAGTGTAATCAACACTGCAACATTCATACATATACAAGTATCATAATGAAGCAAAAACAAGCATACATCACACAATCATAAAATTACAACCATCACCTACCTTGAAATAAGCTTGAAACCCTAAGAAACTTGATTCTTCCCTTTCCGGATTCGTTCCGCTTGTTCTTGGTCTACAAACAATCAATATAATACGGGAATCAATAAACAATCACTAATTACCAGAATTACTAACAATTCTATGAATCCTAGATCAAACCCATGATCTCAATTATCCAATTTAAGGTTGTTTCCACCATAAAATCTATATAAAAAAAAAACCCCATCAATATTCACCCATTCTATTACGTTTTATGGATCGAAAAATGGATTCGGAGAGTGAAAAGTTTACCTTTAGCCTCAAGAATGGTGAAAAACGAGTATAAGTCGACTAGGGGTCGTTCCTTTAGCTCTAAAAGTCAAAAAGTGCATAATGAGGTCGTTTAAGGGTTTAATAACCACTTTAATTCGCGTCAGGCCCGCCACAGTGGCGACGCCAGAGCAGCAAAAATCCCCGCCAAAGCGAAACATAAAGTTATTTCAAGAACTCCAAAATTCTCATTTCATAACACACCTCTAACCCACGACGCTCAGTAAATACCATTTACGTTAAGATCGATTCCGGGAGTTCTACTCGCCCGAATTCAATTCCGTAAAGTCGTACGGATTCCTTAACGAGTTATCTAACTACTCATGTAATCACAATCATAAATGATTCACCCGATTGTTACCAGATTTCCCTACACCTCAATGACTCCGATTTCGTCCAAATCTGGACAAGGTTGGAAAAATCCAAATACTACAAAAAAAGTTTTCCGGCCCCAAATTTTCCCCCGTTGGCTTTTCTATAACGACGGGAACAGGTCGTTACATTGAGTGATGCATTCGAAACTGAGACGTGATGTATTCAAAACCGAGACACAATGTATCAAGATATTTTGAGATGTATCTGGATTTCATCAAATTTAAGAGATTTTTGTAATTTAGAAAAGAAAAAAGATAAAAATATAATTAGTTCTTAACACTATGAAATTCGTTTTAAAAATCCCCAAAAAAGTAGGAAGTGGCCTTTGTTATTGGTCAAGATGAAATCAAGGCATATCGACAATGGAATGAGTGTGGTCATGACTCATGAGATGAGTGAATGGAAATAAAAATGAAAATGATGGCTACTCTGTTGTGAATAGAAGAAGCACTACTAAAATTAGTGTAAAAATCGAGGATCGAAATTAATGGAATTCCTCAAATATTTTTAAAGAATAACTAACGTCAAATTGATGGATTGTACATCATTAGTTTGATTTGGGTCGGTGCCTAAAAATTGATGAATAAAATCGGTTAAAATTGAGAGACAACTGAAGGAGTATGTCACTTTTAATAAATTAAAAAGTAACATAGAACTTTTTAAAAAAAATCGAAGGATAATGTTAGTTTTTCAGAAATATATATAAAGAAAATGTAATTACTAGGAATAAAATCCAAGTATTTACTATGACATTGAACAATTCTCTGCTACTAAACTACACATACTCTTTAATTGAATATTTTTATTATTTTTGTTTTAATTTTTGAATGCAATTATGCGCTTCAAAAACTTATGGAGTCTTTAGGTTTAAGTAAAAAATAATAAAATTTGAGGGACTCTCATTGATTTTCTTTCAAAATAAAATTTAAATCTTTTTTATAATTTTTGTGCAGGAAAACAAATCGACAAGGGTTCATCGATTTTCATCAAAAAATAACAAAACCCACGAATTTGGTCGGTTTTTCAACTGCACCTATTGATTATAGGTTTGCAAATGGTACAGTTTAAGAGGTTATTTTATGATATTTATACCTTATCGGTGTTTTCAGTTATTTTATGATATTACCATATCGTTGTTTTTTTGGTTATTTTATATAACCAAATTAGACTTTTGAAAATCGCTCCATGATTTTTGTTTTTCTTCAATATCGGTATGGACGGTTAATTTCGATATTTCTAATATATATATATATATATATATTTATAAGTTAAAATATGCTATCATATCTACCTGTATATGATTTTGGAAAAAAAATTCCAGATATTTGTATAATTCTGTTGTTTTATAAGTGAAGAAAACAAGAATAAAGATCCATCTCATTGTATTATGATAGTGTAAAACAATATTAAGCAAAGACAACATAATTTAGATCACACGTACAAAAAGAAATCAATCAAACTGAAACTCAAAAACGGAGTCTACTTAAGTATTCAATAAAAGAAATTTAAATCATAAGAGAGAAACAATATAATTAACACTCAAAGTCCTAACACCTTCTAACTTGTAGCTTGTTAGAAGGTGTTAGGACTTTGAGTGTTAATTATATTGTCACTTCCATTATCTTTAAGTCTAAATCAATGATTTTAACAATTTGTTATTTTAAATCATATATTAGTTGATACAACTCAATATTTTTTTATTAAATTTTATAAAATATAAACCTAGCTAATTATTCGGCACAATCATAAATTTATATAAAAATAGTCTATTTTATTAAAAGAAACCTAAAAATCAGTTCGGAGCGATTTGATTCAGTCAACTTTTAAAAAAACCATTGGGCAGCGATGAAATTCGATCTCAGTACCATTTCCCATTTCCCCTTCGCTGATCACACAAAGACATTCATTAACCAACCAAAACCTTTTTACATGTTTTAACTTGTATACCTACTACTATCAGGTAAATAACAGATACATCAATAACATATCCCCAATGCACACAAGTATTTCTCATTACAAAGAAAAGAAACCAATACATCACAACCAAACATAAAGATTGCTTATTAAGTTTTGCAAGGGCAACAAATGCCTCTTTTTTGAAAAGGTATAATAATAAATATAAGAAAAGAGTCAATGGTGGTGCTATGTTTGAAACAAATAGAAAGAAAATAACAAGATAAATGTGCCCACGAGCATTCACAGCACAACAGCAGATCATTCATTCTCTCTGCTTCTCAGGAAGAAAAAAAATAATCAGAAGCCAGCAATTCCATAACCTTTACCTCCGCCAAAGATATGTAACCTAGGCCCCAAAGGCTTTGGTTTTAAAAATAATGCTGAGAGGCTGCATGGGGAAGTAGAATCAAAATTCCCCGTGCCTGTATTAATAAATAACCACGACAGACAAACAACGTAACATAAAGGAAAAGAAAATACTTATCCCAACAAAATCAAGCTGCCAGCTCAAAAGACAGTATAATCCTGTTCTCTTTTATTCCCTGTCTAATTCCTTCATGAGACGCCATTGTCAACAGCAACAGTAAAGACTAAACTCATTGATGGCTCTAAGAAGCACAATAGCCACCAACCCTGGGGCCACAAAACAGTTAACTCTTTAACTTGGATTTCCAACCGGCATTGGCTGCCAATGTTGACCACCAGCTTGTCCGGCCATCTCATTGCCAAACTGCTCAGATGGAGTACTTAATTCAGCAGATGATGATCTACTAAGATGTGCTTCGGCATTTCCATGTCTTACAGTCTTATCATCAAATGCAACACGTTGGAAATTTTCTACAAGTAAATCAGGAGTAGACTTTTGTAGAGATTGAGGATTTGACACGGTTGAATTTTGAACCGATGGCGGCAGGAGCCAATGAAACCATTCATTTCTCCGCCTTAACTTTTCACCCTGCAACACCAGGAATAAATATTTTCGAAACTGTAACAGTTTTTGAGGCAAATACTATACAAATACTCTTAAAAGTGCTCCTAGTTATGAAACACTAAATGCCTAAATAGGCCCATGCAAGAGTAGACGCAAATACTACCAAAGTATTTTCATGGTTGGGCCATCAAGCAATTTCCTAGTTCTGAACATCTCAATCAGCTCAGGACATCAGCAAACAAACACTATATAATTCAAACAGCAGCAACTGTGAACGTAGGACACATTAACAAGGATGAATTACAAATCATAATTTTGTTTCTAGAAGACCAACGTCAAAGAACATGGTGGGCAATGCATAAGGCTATTGAATTCTTAAAAATCATTTACAAGGGTAACAGACTCTAGGTGTACACAAGACTCCGTGCTCACATCTCTAACGTCTTCAACAAGTGCTCCATTATTTAGCAACACAAGCACTTCGCCAAAAACTCAAATAACACATAGTGAACCCTTTCTTTTTGGCCAGAGAAAGTAGAGACTAAGGGGTCGTTTGGTTGGGAACAAGTTTATCCTGGGATGACTTATCCCACCATGTATATGGGATAGCTTATCCCACCACTATGGTCTAAATGGTGGGATAAGTTATGCCAAACATGGCAACCAAACAAGACACAAAAATTTTATCCCATCACTATTTTCTTATCCCATGACTATTTATTTTTATCCCTCACACCAAGCGACCCCTAAAAGTCTAAAGAGACCACAAACCACATATAGAAAGGATACCTGCACTTCTACAACAGTAGAGAACCTCACAGCATTCAGTATCAATTGTATATTATCTGTCAATTCCATTACCTGCAAAAATGAAAAAAGTGGTTCTTATCTTAAAACTGTTCGACGTATTTAATTGCATAAAATGAAATGTGGAACCATAAATCGATATAAGAGTATTTTTCGGTCTTCATTTTTTTTTTATTACATTCAACTAATTTCATTTAGACTCCGTATTGTTCACAAAATTTCAGGTTTTCTTTTTCATCTCTGTTTACTCGACAATCTCCACAAGCACAAATTCCGCTTCTTATATGACCAAAATTTCTTTCACAAACCACCTATGCCCTCTATTAGAATAGGAATTCATTAAAAAAATGATTTTATTGTATAGTGTACAACCGGTATGTACAGAAATTTGGCAGGCCAAAATAGGCCAAGTTTATCACAGCAAACAAAGTTACCACAAAAAGAATGCTAAAGGCATGCATGTAAGTGAGGTTACTCTGAGATATACAGAAGAACCATTGATCTAAAAGGATATCTACAGACTTCTCCATCCACCTTCAACTCGGCCCCGAAAGTATAATCATCCAACGTATGTCACTGTGATGCAGCAAAAATTTCAAAGAACTATCACAAACAACATAATTATACAGATAGAACACCAGCTGTTGATCTCCATTTTCATCAAGTCCTCAATACATCTCTTCACTTCCCACATATTTAGACAACCCTTCATATGATTCTAAGCTGTCAATATCTTTGAGGTAAGATTGCCTTTTTAAGTTAATACTCCTTGGACAACAACAATTCAACAAAAGCAGGCTGGACCCTACAACCTACTGTGGCCAGATCACCTTGTAGCAGGGAACATTCACATATTGCACTCATTACCATCCCATCAAACAGGCACTCACTTCACATTGCACAGTTATAACATTATACATAGAAGTTAGAACATTGGTTAATCCAGCAATTTGATGTACAAACAGTCATTTCTTGTGCTGACATGACTTTCTGCTCATGATGCATAAGCATTTCAATCTAGTGAGTAGTGACTCCAACTCCAAATAATTACAATGAGCATTAATACTTGGAAAGAATATCTGGACAAAGCCCAACATGACATAAATTATACCATAGAATGATCAAATCCACTCATTTGCTTACAACTACCTGGTCATATCATGGAACTGTAGAAGAAAGAGGGACAAGATCATGCAACTCTACAAGCGTTCCACCCCGACTAGTTCGGATAATGCAGGATTTTTTCCTAAGGAAGGAGTTAATTTTACCTTTTTTCCTCCAGTAAAACTTGTAACAGAGAAAAGGCAACAACGATAAGAGAGATAGAGAATTAGAGACCGGGAGACCTCCAGTTGAAATGAACTACTAACTACCATGGCTCTCTCCCACTGATTTTTTTAATAAGAGTATGGATCTCTCTCACGGATTTTTATGCCCAAATCTTGAAAATAACCCTAAGAACCTCAAAAACAAGTTGTTACAGAAGACTAAGGAGACTCACCCTTGGCACCAGAAAAAAAGTACAAACAGAGAAGGAAACTCCAAAGGATCAAGTACAAAAACATCATATCAGGATGTCTGTCCATTAACCATGCTCAGCAACACTATTAACAATACCAGCAATAACGTGAATTAATATGTGGGGATGCTTTTTCAAAAGCATGAGCTACTAATACACCTGAAAATATTAGCCATGAACTAAGGGTCAAGAGAACACTCCAACCAACTCACTTTCTTGAAGCCTGCGATTAGTGTAACCGGAACCCATCCATGTTCATCCATGTTCTGTCGCAAGAATGTGTCCTTAATTAAATTCTCATTACTGCAACAAAATTTAGGGACAAGACGACTTTAGAATACCAATACAGTTAAGGCAGCCACTAAATAAGAGCAATTACAAGCAAATAGAACAAAGATGTATCTACCTGAAATAATAATCCATCTGGTTCACTATTCTAGTATGCAACTGGGTATCTGGAACATGAAAGAAGGGCACAGGAGAAAACATAGGCCCTCTGAATGAATCAGGGAATGGACCTGGCAAATAAAATACCGATGGAACTTCTGCATATTGGTTAAAGTATCAGTAGGGACACAAAATGGGGTTTAATAACTCAGAAAAAAGATCTCGATAAGTAAAACATCTCACTAGAGTAAACCATGGGAGGTCGATAGGGCTGCACAGGAATGGGCGTTGGTATAAAAGGTGGAGACGTATGAGGTGGGGCCCCCATATATGGCCTAGCTGGACCTCTGTGCGGCTGCATGTGTGCATCCCTATTCACCCAACCTCTGTGAGGTTTCAAATCCTGATTTCGACGTTCCTGATCACGCCTACCCCCGTAACCATTCTGATATGTGCCATCTCCACGGGGAAGTGGACCAACATTGCCCCTCCTATTTGCATTTCGTTGATGTTGGTGGTCAATTCCACCATGTGATTGAGCTCCAAATCCTCCCCATTGTCCACCATCCCTATGACTATAATCCCTTGAAGAAGACTCAACACCAGAATTACCTGTCTTCCCAGAATTATTAAGGACTGTTTCCACCTCAAAACCTTGGGCCTGCTGTGGAGAAAAGACACCATTCGCTGATGCATTATGGTTTGAATTACCACCACCGCGCTTCATAGACCTTTGGCGGCTGGGTACAACATGGTTCAGCATTGTATCAGGGTTTACATTGTTAGTATTAGCTTGCCTATGAGAAGCTGATGCCATCCCGGGGTCCTAGTATGTGCAAGCATAACCAGACAAATAAATGATCAATATATTGGACACATGATAAAACGAGAGCCAAGCAGCAGATAGAGCAAAAACAACCGCAATTAGTGCACTTCAATCCTAAGGTAGTTTGTATCAGCTATATTAATCCTCAATTCCAAAAATCAGTTAGAGAAAAGTAGCATTGAGGAATGTGGAATAACCTGTGATAGAGAAACTGATCTAGACTGAGTTTTGAGTAAATCAGAAGAAGAAGAAGATAATTTAGGTGAAGCCTTGGTGGAGTCAGAGAGAGCAGGCCAAGAGACAGCACCCATAACAGGACTAAGATCGGCTGCACCATTTGAGGGTTTATTCCAAGCCTGCTTTTTAGCCCCATTGCCGTTGGTGCCGTCACTGCTTCCATTATCGGAGTTCTCAATCTGAGCTTCTGTAGTGGCATCTAACGAAGACGCACTATCGGCTTGTTCAGGAGGCGAACAATCAGAGGAGTGAACGTCTTGCTCACAAGACCCCTGAGGAGAAAGTGGAGGTGAAGAGGAGGTCACCGCAATGGTAGATTCTGATTCACCAATGCGAACAACCTGCTTCCATGGAGAGGAAACGTCACGCGTGGCTGATGATCGCGGAGACTCCTGTTGGCGGTTGGAACCGCCGGTTTCCGATGTAGTATTCCGGTGAGAGTTATGAACCGGGCCAGTAGTAGATGTAGCCATAAAAACTAGGGTTTGTTTATACGGAATCAAAAACATCCAAAAATCGAAGACGGCTTCTAATTAGTGTTTCTATACCTGAAAATCCTTTAGTTGATTGACTATTCCTAAACAACAAATAAACAAAATATTGAATCGATCAAAATTTTCTACAGAGCCTAACAGATTTAGCATTAAAATATACCAGAGGAATCGATGAATGCAAATAAAAGTTACAGTGTATAACTGATTATAAAAACAATAAAATATGATCTTGACGATCACTGTGCTCAACACCAGAGCTCCAAAACAAACAAACAAACAAACAAAGAGCAGAGAGAGACGAGCTTTCTCTCTCCTTTTTCTCTCTCCTCCCTATGCTGTATTTTCTTCTTTGCTTAGCAGTAGAGAAACCCCTACCCTAAAGTTCTACTTGCACTGAAAAAGTACTTTCACGGTCTCCAAGCTGGCAATTAATCCCTTCGAGTTTTTTTCGCGTGAGGTATAAGGCATCTCCAATTCAATTCTCTATTTTACTCTTTAAATATAAAAAATTTTATTTTTTCAAACAATCAATTCCAATTCAATTTTCTATTTTATTCTCTAAAAATGAATTTTTTTCTCTCTCCTCAATATTATATTATTATTTCTATTTCATTCTTATTTTCTTATTTCATAATATAAATCTTTTATTTCTTTTTCCCAAATAATTACTTTATATAATTTTTAATGTCATATAAAATTATTTTTTATTCTAAATTTTTAAATAACATAAATTGCAAGAAAATATAATATAATACATAAATTAGGGGACAAATTCAAATAAAAGTGATATACAATTACATAAACACTCAATTTTCAAAATTATTACGTTACTCGTATAAATGCTCTATTAATGCATTACGGAGTTCAAAATGAGCATTTTTGTCCTTAATTTTTTTATGTCTAGCTAAAAATTGTTCAAACCGGAGATTTTCATCTATCACCATTTCTATAGTTGGAGTTGGAGCCTCTACGGTATCTTGAATAGGTGCATTGAGATCACGTTCATCCTCAATTATCATGTTGTGCAGTATAATACATGTAGTCATTATATCATGTAGCACTTCCTTTCTCCAAAAACGTGAGAGTCCTGCAATAATTGCAAAACTCCGAATGCACGTTCAATATCTTTTCGACATGATTCTTGTTTCATCGCGAAATATTTCTTTTGTTGGGAATGAGGATCACGAATAGTTTGAACAATTGTAGACCATTTAGGATATATACCATCAGCTAAATAATAACTCATATCGTATACCATCACAACTATAGTCACAACCACAATCACAATCGCAACAATTCTCGGAATCATATCCTAATTTTTTTCTGAATAGTGCTAAATCTGAAAACGACCTGCCGGATTTCTAAATTATTGTTGTGATCAATTAATTATTATGTTATGTATTGTATTTTATCTTGTATTTAAATTATTATGTTATGTATTATATTGTATTGTTATCTTGTATTTAAATTATTATGTTATGTATTGTATTGTTATCTTGTATTTAAATTATCATATCATGTATTGTATTTATAAATTAAATGTTTTCATCTTGCCATTTTAATTTTGTGTATTCTTTATAATGAAAATTAATAATAAAATAAAATTTTATTATTCACGAAAATTAGAAAAAAAATTAAAATACTATTAGTTTGAAATTAAAATAGTATATATTAAATAATATTTAAAAATATTATATTACATTTAAAAAAGAATTATGAATATTAGATATTTAATTAATAGAATTATATGTAAAATAATATGTTAATTAGAAAGTAATAGAAATAATAATAAAATAATGAAAAAGTAAAATAGAGAGTGTGAATAGTAGTTCTCCAAATTTGGAGAACTACTATTCAACTCTCTAAATTTAAAGAATAGAGGGTGATTTGGAGGTGGGTTGGAGTGTCCATTCTCTACTTTACTCTCCAAATATAGAGTATGGAGAGTAAAATAGAGGTGGGTTGGAGATGGTCTAAGGTCAAAAATAAAATATAGAATTACTTTATTCTTGTTTGAAGATATTAGCTATTTTTTAAATTACTTATTTCAATACTTATAATATAGAGATAAATTTTTTTGATCATCATGATGTTTTGGCTAATTTACTCGCACCTTAACTAATTTCATGAAATATAAGTACCATCTATCAACCAAAGCTAGGACTAGGATAGATGGAAAGAATCACTTAGTGCCGCTTTTTTTATTGTCTCTGTTGAGCTTTGGAGCTAAGACATCATGATTTTCAATCACTTCATTAACCACTAGACGTGCTCGAGATAATTAATCACATGATAACATGTTCTCAAACAACCCCTTTAGAGTCTCGTTTAGCAGTCGGATAAGAAACACGTTATTTATGTATTGATTTTCGTATTATTTATACAACGTTTGATAGGTATAGGAAGATAAGAAATAAGTTATTAAGCATGAAATGAGTTAACTGTCAAAAACACACATATAGTATCCCTATTATTTTTAGCTTCATATCTAAACTATTGAGAGTGTGAAAACACACCTAATCTATCACTCATTAGTTTGAATAAAAACACCTCAATACTGATTGGACCAAATGTGTGCACACACATGCTCAAGCGCGTTTGGCCCAAAATTTCGTTCATGTGACTTTTTTTTGTTTGCTGACACTTTTTTTATTAAGTGTCAAAAACACATTCAAACTATCTAATTATTTTTAGTTTCATACCTAAATTATTGAAAGTGCAAGAAACACACCTCAATGTTGATTGGACCTTAAATTTTTCATCCACGTGGCTTCCTTTTTTTTTTTTTTCCTAACACATTCTTTTTCTTAAATTTTCAATTGATTTTTAAAAAGTAAAGTTATGTGTTTCTATTTATATTTTTAATCGGAACTGTTACATGTGTTAGTTATGTCTTGTCACAAAAAAATTATTTTTCACGTGATAATTTTTTATTTTAAAAAGAGAGTTGATACACATACCATTACATATTACTTGAGGTATGTTTCTCCCACATCTTATAGTTTTAAGTATAAAACGAATAGTGTATTTTTGACACTTCACTCGTACACATGATATTAACTAATACATGAATAATTAATTCCTCCATAAAATGATACATAAATTCACTCATAACTAATTTTTAATATCTTCATAACTCTAACTAACTACCGCCTACCAAACGACCCCTTAGGACAAGTTTGGTGCAATGGATAAATTGAGATAATTTTGATTAAATTTTTAGTATCCTTAATTTTTGTTTGATTTTAAAGTGTGAAATATTTTATTTCAAGAATAATAGTTAGTATTGGATAAGCTATTTTTGTCTCTTGATAGAATAATAATTTTATGATAATAGATAAAATAATCAAAAAAATATATATCATCATGCTATCACAATGGTATGTCAATACACTTTGTTATATTTTAAGGTTTTGTATATCCTTATTGTCAATCTTTTGAGTTGAGTATGCCCTTAAAGCTAACGGATGAACACATAGCTTGTATTTGTTATCATTGTTCACTATCATCCTACCGTGAGCTTCTAATTCCTGAAAACAATTTACTTAAACAACCCCCTTTATCTAGGGCTAGGCTAGCTAGATAGTCGGTCAATTTATTTGAAAGTGTGTAATACTATCACCATTTATCCTTGCATGAGCCTCCATATTTCCTCTAAAATATTCACTACCTTCCATATTCTTAAGTAACAAAGAACCAATTTTTATAATCACATGAGGTTACTCTATATACTTTAAAGCATGTAAGAGTGTCATTGATTTTGCCTGAGTAGTAGTACTTGAAGGATCATCCATCTCCTTAGCCTGCCTGAGCTTGTATGATATCTCTTTTATTATTTCTCACACAGAAACTTCAGGGGCTTCTTCATGAATTTCCTATTGATGTTTCATACTTGTATTATATGAAATCTTTTTACATGTTTAACTTGTATAGCAGTAAGATAATCACGAATGATTCAATAAATCAACAGCACACAAGTATATATAGTTTCCTTACATAAAGATGCTTATTAAGTTTTGGCAAGGGAAATAAAAAGGTATAAATATAAAAAAAAGAGTCATCAATGGCGCTATGTTTGAAACAAACAGACAGAAATTACAAGATAATCATGTGCCCACAAGTCTTCACAGCAGATCCAGCAAGACCATTCTCCCTCCTTATCAGGAAGATGAAAAATCAGAAGCCAGCATAGCTTTCAGTAAGCTTCACCTCCTCCAAAGATAAAGTGACCTAGCCCCAAAGATTTTGGTTTTAAAAAATAATGCTGAGGGGCTGCATGGGGAAGTAGAATGCAAAATTCCCCCTACCTGTATAATAAATAACCATGACAGAGGAAAAACATAACATAAAAGGAAAACAAAATACTAAATCCCAAACAAAACAAGATATACATCCCAACAAAATCAAGCTACAAGCTTGCTTAAAAGTCATTATAATTCTATTCCCAATTCTGTTTCTTCTCTTTTATTCCCCGTCTTTTTCCTTCATGAGACGTCGTTGCCATCACCAAATGTAAAGACTAAACTCATTGATTGCACGAAGAAGCACAATAGCTTCCAACCCCTGGTCGACATAAAAGTTAACTCTTTTAACTTGGATTTACAACTGGAACTGGGCATTGGATGTGAATGTTGAGCACCAGGTTGTCCAGCCATCTTATTGCCACACTAGTTAGATGGAGTATTTAATTCAGCAGATGATGATCTACTAAGACGTGCTTCGACATTTCCATGTGTTACAGTCTTATCATCAAATGCAACACGTTGGAGATTTTCTACAAGTAAATCAGAAGTAGACTTTGGTAGAGATTGAGGACTTGACACGGTTGAATTCTGAACTGATGGCGGCATGAGCCAATGAAACCAGTCATTTCTTCGCCTTAACTTTTCACCCTGCAACACAATGAAGAAATATTTTAGAACCTGTAACACAGTTTTGAGGCAAATACTACCAGGGTATCCTAATTCAAGCATATCCACTATACTTTTCTTCTTTTTTGATGACCGTGGTGTCTGAGGCTCTGAGCTAGCTTTCACGCACCTCAACTAATTCCATGGGATACTTGTCACCAGGGGTAAATCTAGGTAGACCCTAGGGGGTTCACCCAAACCCTCTCGTCAAAAAATTACACTATATATATAACGTCAACTTCTGATTTTAATGGTATATATATTAAAATGAACCTCCTAAAAACAAAGTACAGGCTTGGCTCAATGATTAAGTGGTTCAAGATATGCCCCTAGGTCGCAGGTTCGAATCCCACGGGCAACATTTTTTCCCTGTTTTTAATGCTTTGGAAAATGGAACTTTTGGGCTTCGACCTTTTTCTTCTTTTTCATTATTTTTTCCTTTTATTCCATTTCTTCTTTTTAATTTGTTTTTGTTTAAATTTATTAGGCACATTCTTTTTATTTATTTATTTTATGACAAGGGAAACCCGCAACCGCTATCATTTGGGTGCGCACAGGGTAAAAACCCCGTTCCTATGCTATTCGCAAACCACACAGGAGAGGTAACCCGCACCAGGCAAGCCTGGTGCGACGAGCTCGACCCAGAAGGCAAACCCCTTGCTTTCGTTGGCAAGGGGTTTCGAACTTGAGACCTCCAACATGGAAGTCCCAAGCTCAAACCACTGGACCACCCCGAAGGGTTTTATTTTTTATTATTTTTATATCTATTATTCATGTTGTTTCAACATAACTCTTTTTCATATACTAACTTGAGAAAATCTTTTAAATATGATGAATTATATTTAACTTGAAATAATTTATTTTTTTAAAAAAAAGGTAAATTAGATGTAATTGAATGAAGAAACTTAAATATCGTCAACATCCCTTTTAAAATATTAATTTATAGAATTCATGAAATTTCTTTTATATTTTTAGTTCTATTTTAGAGGGATGGAAACTAAACTTATTTGATTTATTCGTTATTTGTCTTTTTTACAAATTATGACTAACCTAGTAAATTGAACTATATGAACTAAAAAAATTGACAATGCTATTTATTTATCTTCTGAATATGCATTATAATATTATAACTCTATTCTTAGACACTTTTAGAGAATCTTGACGATTTTCATAGTTATATGTAATTGAATGGATATTAATTTAAAAAATTTAAAAAGTGAAAACTAAAGTAAAACATTACAAAATAAAAGTATAAAAAACCACAAGAAATTTTAAGAATGCTCGATGGAGCATGATAAAAGTAGAAATAAATGTTTAATATGGTATGATAAAGTAAGTTAAATTTAGCATGATAAGGTAAATATATTTCTTCCCCGTCTCGCTTCCTTTTTCATCATTTAATTTTCACGCGTTTTAGGAATTAACTTATGTAATACAGTCGATCCGCTAAAATTCTTATCAATGTATTTTTGTCCTCGATATCTTTAATTAGTTTAGTATTTACTTTTATGAACCAATGAAATATTTATGATTCTTGTACAAAGAGCATGCCGAGGGGCTACTACGCTCACCGCACACTTGCATTACTACCTGAACTTCTTCTTTATACTTTGAACCCCCTGAGCAAAAATACTGGATCCGCCACTGCTCGTCACCTCCCACAAGCAATAGGTATCAAGTAACTCTGTCCACCAAAGCTTAGGGCAAATGAGAAGAATCACCTAGTATTTTTTGTCTCCGTTGGGATTTGAACTTAAAACCTCATGCCTCTCCTAGTTATGAAGCACTAAATGCCGAAATAGGCCATGCAAGAGTGTAGATGCAAATACTACCAAAGTAATTTCATGGTTAGGACATCAAGCAATTTCCTAATTCTGAAGCACTAAATATCTCACCCAGCTCCGGACATCAGCAAACAAACACTATACAGTTCAAACAGCAGAAGCTGTGAACATAACAAGGATAATACAACCCATAATATTGTTTCTAGAAGACCTACTTCAAAGAACATGGTGGACAATGCATAAGGTTATTGACTTCTTAAAAATCATTTACAAGGGTATCGACTCTAGGTGTACACAAGATTCCATGCTCACATCTCTAACGTCTTTACAAGTGCTCCATTCTTTTATAACACAAGCACTTCGCCAAAAACTCAAATAACACATAGTGAACCCTTTTCTTTTTTTTTTTGAAATTAGTGACCCCTTTCTTTTTTGCCAGAGAAAGTACAGACAAAGTCTAAAAAGACCACAAACCACATATAGAAAGGATACCTGCACTTCTACAACAGTAGAGGACCTCACAGCATTCAGGATTAGTTGTATATTATCTGTCAACTCCATTACCTGCAAACATGAAAATGTGGTTCTTATCTTAAAACTGCAACGTATTTTATTGCATATAAATGAGATGCAGAACCCAAAATCGAGATAAGAGTATGTTTTGGTCTACATTGTTTTATTAAGTACAACTAATTTCATTTAGAATCCGCATTGTTCACAAAATTTTGGGCCTTCTTTTTCATCTCTAATGACCTGACAAATTCCGCTTCTTATAGGACCGAAATTTCTTTCACAAAACACCTATCCCCTTCTGTTATAACAGGAAGTCATAAGAAAAAATGGATTTGACTGTATAGTGTACAACCATTGTGTACACAGAAATGACAGGCCAGAACAACCCAAGTTTTTCACGGCAAGTTACCACAGAAAGAATGCTAAAGGCATGCATGTAAGTGAGGTTGTACTGAATTATACTGAAGAACCGTTGATCTAAAAGGATATCCACAGACTTCTCGGTCCACCTTCCACTCAACCCTGAAAGATTAATCATCCGGCGCCACTGCCTTTGCAGCAAAATGACAAAAAGAACCATCACAATAACATTATTATACAGACAGAACACCAGATTGAACCAACATCATACAGTCCAGTGCAAACTCCTATACAGATCAGAATTCTTTATATCATCTTAGAATATCAGGTAATCAGCGCACTAGTATGTCAGAATACTTGAGTTAGTGTTAACTTCATCCCTCATCGTTGAAATATAAGATGTGAATTATATCGCATTATAAATAAGTGTCTTGTATTCCATTTTCATCAAGTTCTCAATACATCTCCACTTCTCACATATTTAGACCAGTGTTGTCAAAGGCGCGCTTTAAGCGCGCTTAAGCCCTGAAGCGAGGATCAAAACATGTTGAGCTTCGCCTCGCTTTATGTGCACTTCAATGTCGTCATCAAGGTTCCAAGGCAAACTTTTCCTTGCCAACGAGCCTCTTCTGAAGAAGTGACACTAAACAATTGACATTTCACTTTATCATAAAAAAATAATTTCTTTGGTCATATATATTTTTTTTTTGATGAAATAAGTTGTTGTATTGAGAAGGCATCAAGGAGGTGCTTGAAAGATTACAAATCAAATGGTTATAACTCCAAACAGTGCAAAAAAACAAGATCTGGAAGTTGAGAACCAAAAGCAAAAGGCTCAAGGCTGCTAAGGCGCTTAGAGGGAACTGATAAAATCTAGAAGGGGATGAATGATGCTATCATTTACCGGGGAAAGGTTGCTCCAGCTATAAATTCTTTGGTCATATATTTGTTATTAGTGTTTATGATTATTAGTCTTGGACTAAACATATATATTTGTATTTTTTTCTTCCTTTGCGCCTTTTTCATTAAAGCACAGGCTTAATTTGCACTTAAATCCCCAACGGACCTTAGAGTTTTTTTGCACTTTTCGTCATTGATAACACTGACTTAGACAACCCTTCATATGATTATCAGTTGCGATATCTTTGAGGTAAGACCGTAAGATTACCTTTATAAGTTATACTCCTTGGACAACAGAAGTTCAACAAAGGCAGCAAGGACCCTACAACCTACTATGGCCAGATAACCTTTAGCAGAAAACATTCACTTATTGCATTCATAACCATCACATCAAACAGGCAATCATAATAAAAGCATTTTGTTTAAGTGGCTCTGGAGATTAGCAGGATGAAGGAGTAGTCTGGATTAAAATAATTGAAGAAGTCTATGGCAGCAGACAAGGCTGGAATCCCCCCTTCAAATGGTCTATACACTAGGGAAAGAGATCTCCACATTATTGGCAGAGTTTCAACAATTTACTAGATTGGAGGTGGGAAATGGAGTGAAAATAGATTTTGGACTGACTTATGGACTGGTGATGAGTTCTTTTTTTTTTTTTTTTTGATGACGAGGGAAACCCGCAGCCACTACCCTTTGGGTGCGCACAGGGTAAAACCCCCACTCCTATGCAATAGCTCGCAAACCACATAGGAGAGGTAACCCGCACTAGGCAAGCCCGAGCGACGAGCTCAACCCAAAAGGCAAACCCTTGCTTTCAGTGATGAGTTCTTGAAACAAAAAGTTCCTCTTTTTTTAAGTTGTTGCAGTAACATAACAAAGATGGAGTTGTGACTGATTTTTATTCCAACACTGGTGGCAGATGAATTTTGGAAGGAATCTGAAAGATTGGGAAATTGAAGATTTTTGTCAACTACTCCAACTCAATTATACCCACATTGATCAGAGTAAAGGGGATTTACTAGTATGCATATCTAGTAAGAAAAAATCCTTTTAGGAATGAAGTGTTATTGCCTTCCAATGAAGCATACAGGATATTGGGATACTAGCTGGCCATGGAAAGGGATCTGGATTCTGGGGAACTAAAGCTCCTACTAATTGGTTCGATTGCAGCATGGGGAGCTTGCCTTAGTCGGGATAATCTTCAGAAGAAAGGTTTTGCACTAAGTAATATATGTTACTTATGTGAAGAAGAGTTGGAGACTGTGAATCACATTCCTATGCATTGCAGAATAGCTAGACAATGTTGGGAATTTCTTTTTCAGTATTTGTGGGATCTCTTGGATCATGCCTCAGAGTATGAAGGAATTATTGGAGAGTTGGCAGCACCAGAGAACACATAAAACTTTGAAGGAAATTTGGAGAATTATACCTTAGTGCATATTCTGGACTATTTGGCTAGAAAGAGAAAGAAGTAACACTTGTTTTGACGGGAAAAAAGACCATATTTCTAGAGTTCAAAACTAGTGTTTATATAATTTGTTTTGTTAGAGTAAAAGTAGTTGCATTGATATTTGATAATATAGATCAATATATGGACTTTCTGGAGTTGCTAGGGAGATGCTGTAATTGACTGTATGGATATTCTCAAATCTTCTGTAACTCTTGGTACCATCTTGGTACTTAGTCAACAAACCTTTACCTTATTAAAAAAAACATTATATGTAGAACATTGGTGAATCCAGTAATTTGATATGCAAACAGTCATTTCTTGTGCTGACCTACTCATGATGCATAAACATTTCAGTCTAGTGACTTCAAACTCCAAATTAATACAATGGACATTAATACTTGGAAAAAACATCTCAACAAAGCCCCATATGACATAAACTATACCATAGAATGATCATCCATCCAATTGCTTACAACTACCTGGTCATATCATAGACATGTCGAAGAAAGAGGGACAACACAAGATCATGCAGCTCTACAAGTGTTCCACTCCGCTAGTTCGGATAATGCAGGAAATTTTTTCCTCCCCAAGGAAAGAGTTAGAAGTTTTCATTAATTTGACCTTTTTACTCCTGTAACTAACAGAGGAAAATCAACAACGATAAGAGAGATAGAGAATTAGACACAGAGAGACCTCCAGTTGAAATGACTACTAACTACCCTGGCTATCCCCCACTGTTTTTCTTAATAAGAGTATGGATCTCCAGCTGATTCTATGCTCAAGTATGTCCTATTTTTTACTAATTTTATTATTGTGTTACCAAATCTTGAGGATAACCCTAAGGATTTCAAAACAAATTGTTACAGAAGACTAAAGAGGCTCACACTTTGCACCAGAAAAAAAAGTACAAACAGAGAAGGGAAGTCCAAAGGATTAAGTACAAAAACATCAGTTCCAGATGTCTGTCCCCCTTGTCTCCCCCTGTTTGAGGAGAAGATACCATTGGCATTTTCTAAGCCATAAAAAAAAGAGCAAAGACAATTAACCACGCTCGGCAACATTATTAAGATTTAAGAGTTACCAGCAATAACTTGAATTAATATGTCGGGATGCTTTTTCAAAAGAATGAGCTACTAATACACCTGAAAATATTAATCACAAACTAAGGGTCAAGAGAACACTCCAACCAACTCACTTTCTTGAAGCCTGCTATTAGTGTAACCGGAACCCATCCATTTTCATCCATGTTCTGTCGCAAGAATGTGTCCTTAATCAAATTCTCATTACTGCGACAAAATATAGTAACATTAAGACTTTAGGATACCAATACAGTTAAGGCAGTTACTAAATAAGAGCAATTACATGCAAATAGAACAAAGACATATCTACCTGAAATAATAATCCATCTGGTTCACTATTCTAATTTGCAACTGGGTATCTGGTACATGAACGAAGACAGGTGGCACAGGAGAAAGCATAGGCATTCTGAGTGGATCAGGGAATGGACCTGGAAAATAAAATACAGGTGGAACTTCTGCATATTGGTTAAAGTATCAGTAGAGACACAAAATGGGGTTTAGAAACTCAAAAAAAAGATCTCGAGAAGTAAGACATCTCACCAGAGTAAACCATGGGAGGTTGATAGGGCTGCACACGCATGGGCCCAGGCATATAAGGTGGAGACGTATGAGGTGGGGCCCCCATGAATGGCCTAGCTGGACCTCTCTGAGGCTGCATGTGTGCATCCCTATTCCCCCAACCTCTGTGGGGTTTCCAATCCTGATTTTGCCGTTCCTGATCACGCCTACCCCCATAACCATTATGATACGTGCCATCTCCACGGGGGTGTGAACCAACATTGCCTCTCCTATTTGCATTTCGTTGATGTTGGTGGTCATTTCCACCATGTGATTGAGCTCCAAATCCCCCCCATTGTCCACCATCTCTACGATTGCTATCCCTTGAAGAAAACTCAGTACCATAATTACCTGACTTTCCAGAATTATTGACTGTTTCCACCTCAAAACCATGTGCCTGTTGCTGAGAAAAGACGCCATTTGCTGATGCATTATGGTTTGAGTTACCACCGCCGCGCTTCATAGACCTTTGGCGGCTGGGTACAACATGGTTCAGCATTGTATTAGGGTTTGCATTGTTAGTATTAGCTTGCCTATGAGAAGCTGATGCCATCCCAGTGACCTGTAAGATCCACACATTTACATATAAATGAGCTTCTGGAACTATTAATTGATACATAGGTTGTTCTAGCATGTGCAGAGAGAAAAAACAACAGCAATTAGTGCGCTTGAATCCTAAGGTAGTTAACATCAAGTATATTAATTCTCAATTCCAAAAATCGTAGCAATGAGGAATGGGGGAATAACCTGTGTTTCAGAAACTGATCCATTGGACAGAGTTCTGAGTGAATCAGAAGAAGAAGACGATTTAAATGAAGCCTTGGTAGAGTCAGAGAGAGCAGGCCAAGAGAGAGCACCCATAACAGGACTAACATCAGCTGCACCATTTGAGGGTTTATTCCAAACCGTCTTTTTAGCCCCATTGCTGTTAGTGTCACTCTCAAACGCACAACCGTCCACTTGTTCAGAAAGCGAACAATCAGAGAAGTGAACTACTTGTATATTAGATTCTGATTGACCAATCTGAGCCCAGGGCGAGTAAACGCCACGCGCGGCTGCTTCTGATCGGTTAGACTGCTGTGGAGCAGTGTCAGCGGTAGTATTCCAGTGAGAATGATGGTTAATAGTAGATGTAGCCATTAAAACTAGGGTTTGTTATCGGAATCAAAAACTTTCAAAAGTGATGTCCCTAATTAATCTCGAATTAGTGTATCTATACTTGAAAATCCGCTGATTGACTATTCTTAAAGAAGAAATAAACAATACATATATCAAATCGATCAAAATTTTCTACTGATTAAGCATTAGAATGACATGAGAGAAATCGATAAACGGAAAGTAAAAGGTTAGAGGAGAGTATAAACTAAGCAACTAACGATGGTTTTGCCGATCAGTCCAGAGAGAACCCGTCTCTGTGTCTCTCTCTATTTTCTTCTTTGCTTAGCACTAGTGAAAAACCCAACTCACATTTGTTGTTGTTGTTGTTGTTGTTTTTGATGATTCATCAGAATATATTTACCAACTACCCTAGTCTTTTGGCAAGGACGGGCCTGTTTGGCAAATACCTATTTTGAAAAAGTATTTGGTTAATTATTTTTAAATGGAAGTAGAAGTAATTTTTCTATGACATAATACATAAACATGACATTTAACTTGGTTTCAGTGGACAACTATGACCTCTAACTTTTAGTGCGCACAAGTAGACATTTAAACTTGTATAATTTGAACAAGTAGATTCATGTATCCTACATGGCATAATACACGTAGGACACCACGTGGGACACGAAATTGTCACGTAGGGTACCATGTAGGATGAATGTGTCTATTTGTTAAATTTTATACAAGTTTAAATGTTTACTTGTGCACACCTAAAGTTAAAGGTCATAGTCGTCAGCTGACACCAAGTTAAAGGTCATGTTTATATATTATGTCTTTTTCTATTCATATATATATATACTAGTCATGGGCATGTGCACTGCTGGTGTGAGTCATGCTAAGTTGTCTCATTCTCTCTACATTTGTAAAGCAGTCTTGTCATGTGTGTGCATTATTATTGATGTAGTAGAAGTGAACGTTGTGTTAAATAGTCTTCTCATGAGTACATGAGTTATTATTGATCTTGTAAAAAGATAAAGATTAATTTATGCATTTAATAATGTGTAGGATATCTATGTGGTAAATTATGAACGACAACATCAACTTAGAGTCTGTTTGGATTGGCTTAAAAGTTGATCAAACTTACTTTTAAGTCATTTTTAGCTTTTGGAAGTGTCAATAAGTTTAAAATGACTTTAAACAAAAGTTAAAAATCAAAAGTAGGTCTCCCCTACTTTTTATTTTTTGACTTAAAAGCTATTTTTTAAGTCAATCCAAACGGGTAGAAAACGCACACTCTCAATAATTCAGCTATGAAACTCAAAAAAATTGGAATAATTAGGTATAATTTTTTATCCTTTTAGCTCATTAAATTAATTGTGACTAACAAAAGTGTAACGACCCGAAATCGTCGTTATTTAGGAGAAGCAAAATTCGGGAAAAATTTGGGCCCTTGTCCCGCCATAGCGGGCCAGATGCCGCTAGGGCGGCAGTGCCAAGGCGGGATAGGCGAGGAAGAATATAAATTATGAGAAATCATAATTTCTTCATCTTTCTAAAATACCTAAATAAGTCGTAAAACACCCTAGAAACCTCAGAAAAGTTGCTCTAAGCTTGGAAAGGAATGAGAATGAGATTTCTAGCGTGAGGATGGTGATATCTTGCAGATTTTTGGCCAAATTCACCATCACGAATCCCAGAAAACAGGGAATCGAGGTCAAAAACTTCGTGCAACTGCTTGGCGTCCAAGTAGGCTAGGTTTTATGAATTGAGTAGTTTAAATTTGTGCTTACTACGTAATATATGTGAATCGATGGTAGGATTTATGTGTAGGCATTCGTGCACCGAATGATTATTGATTTAAACCCTAGAAAGAAGCCTTAGACGATGAATTAGGGTTGAGTATGGTCGAATTAGGGTTGCATGATGTGTACTGATGAATAATCCATTGTAGGTGATGGTTGTGATTCTATGTTTGTGTGATGTACGTTTGTTCTTCCTTCATTATGATACATGTGTATATGAATGTTGCATTATTGATCACACTTGTTGTAAAGAGATAAATGAATGATGGTTACCATGAAATCATGACTTAAATGCATGATCTTGAGAATATACTTGTGATTGTGATTGTGGTGTGTTGAATGGATCGGTTGTCACGTTTCAGCATAACTAACTTGGATCGGTTGCCACGTTCTGGCATAACTAACTTGGATCGGTTGCCACGTCCCGGCATAATTATGGGATTGGTTGCCACGTTCCGGCATAATCATTGGATCGGGTACCACATTCCAGTATGCTAACTGTTTTGGGTTTGGGTTCCATGAGAGGACCAATGACTTGTCAAAATTATGTATTTTGAGGAAATGTAAAGTTGTTCATTGTTCGTACATGTTGATGATATTGTATATGTTCGATAGGTGCATGCGATTATATGGTGGTGTTGACTTATATATGTTACACTTAGTGGTAAAGATTATGACGGCTTATATTTGATTGTTCTGTGTGTTTAGCGAACTTATAGGGTATAATGGAAGGGTAAAGTGTTCAAGGGGCGAGGAATTGATAGTAAGGATTGTTCGTGTGTCGTAATGGTAGGAAGTAGAGATAGTGTATATGATGAAATATGCGTAGGTGGACTTTACCTTAGGGAAAAAGATTGGATTTAGTGGTAAGGAAGTTTGATGTAGTGTACTATGTGACCATGGTTGAGTAATGTGACGAGGGAGTAAGGATACGAAGTGAGCGGTTAGTTGGAATGCTTGTGGGTGTAATTGGGGATTTGCTAATTGTTGACATCCAATTTTGACCGACCTTTAATCCTTTTGGGAATGCTATTCGATTAAATACGTATTTTAAAATATATTTCGAGTTTAAAATTTTAGTCGATTTTGTCTAAAAATTATATATTTTAGTATGTATACTTTATAAAAAATTATTGTAAATATTATTAAAATATTTTAAAATTATTAGTAAAACTCGAAATAATTATTTTATTCAAATGTTTTAAAATTTAAGTGATTTTAATTATATAAAAATATTATAATATATAGTATTAATTTTATAGTATGTCCTTAATTTCCCTCCAAATCTTTTAAATGTTAGCCTATTATATTCTAATTCCTTTCAATTCTAATTTAATTTCAAATATAGCCACCTATTCATTTCAATTTTAGCCATCCTACTCTAATCAATTTCAAATCCTCATTTAATCTCATTTGTCTATCCTTTAGTTAAAATGTAATATCAAATCTTAATCGTCCATCTTATTCGATTCAACGGACAAAATCAAAGCTCCATCTCTTGCCTTTTAATATCTCAAAGACCAAAACCCCTAATTTTTTCTAATTTCTCTCCTCTCTCCTTCTCCAGCCGTTAACCCCTCTCTCTCTTCTCTTCCTCGCTCCGGCGACTAGCAACAGCTGCGACCAGCAGCAACCCTGGCGACCCTTTCTCTCCCATCGCCTCTTCTCATCTCTATCATTCCCCTCTCCTACCTCCTTCTTCTTCGTCTGACCAGTAACCGGCGAGGACCACCGCGCGACTGGTGAAGCTGCCAACGAGTGGCGCAGCTCCGGCAACCAGCAACAACATCCGACCGGCGAGCCTCCTTCTCCCTTCTCCTCATTTTTCCGGCGAAAGCCACCAGAGGTAGTCACCTCTCTCTCTCCCTCTCTCCCTTCCTCTTATTTTTTCTCTCCTCTCTTCGCAGGACCACCAGCAGCAAGTAGCCAGTGAAATGGCACAACCAGTGTGACAGCAGCCAGGCGAGCGGAGCAGCAGGCTCCACCAGCGGAAACAACAAGCTCCGGCCAGCGAGCTTCAGGCAGCGTCGCCTCTTTCTCACTTTCGGCGAAGACGAGAGAACAGCAACGCCAACAGCCGCGAAAGCCAACTCCGACCAGCAACCATGCACACCAACCGGCGAAACAACAGCAACTTTGACTAAGGGAGCTCCGGTGAAGTACGAAATTTGGATCGGTGGAAGACGGATCTCAACAGATCTGTCTTCGATATTTTCTTTCAATCAATTATTATTTCATCTACTCAACTCTATGTCATTCCTATTTTGATTATAATTTCTTATGATTACTTTAAATTGCTTGATGCTTGAATGATAGAAATATGTTCATGATGTATGCATAAACTTTTGGATGGATTTCTGATTGAACTTGGATTTAGTATTAACTTGCTAATCGTTCTGAGATCCGCTGATTATTTTCAATAGTTGGTCTAAATCTAATTTTTATTGTCCACTAATCCTAGCATATTTTACTCCTTAATTGACTGTGCATCGTGTGAAATTAGAATCAGAATAATTTGTTTAATTATGGGGGAGAATGCTTTGGGTGATTAGTTATCTGATTGTAAATTTCAATTATAGTAAGGTCCAATGTAGTAGCTTCCTGGTAATTCTTATATTTTGTTAGTATTATGCTTGATTTTTTTTTCCATCTATAATCTATAGAGTTATGGTTACATGCCGAATCAATTTGATTAGTTGAAATCATTAGCTTTAGATGTTGTTGATCATACTCAAAATATTTTAGGCTGTGAATATTTGTTTGGGGTTGTAATTTTAGTTTATCCTAAATAATTATGTTTGCATGCTTGATTGTATCAATTTACTGTCTAAAATTATTCTTTCCTTGCTTGTTTTACATGGTGCATTATGGTTAACTGATTTTGTTTACCTTGATTAAAAATGGGGCTGATTTCTTACTTGGCTATATTTGGTAAAAATAACTATGATTTGGCTTTTCTTTATTTAAGGAAATATAATATTACTCTTCCTAATTTTATTCGTGTCCTATTACGATGCCCCCTCTCTGCTATATAAAATCAGGCCCTCCTTTATTTATTTCCCCGCCCTTACATGCGAGAACAATGAGAAGCAGTCCAATTTTAAAAAAAATACTACTCTCTACTTAAAAGAAAGGTTTTCCAGCGAACATTCAAAGTGCTTTCTTTGCTGTGTTGCTGTTTCGGTTGGATTCTTGCTAATACTTCATTGCTGAAATATTTTTTGCTTAATTGGTTAGTTCTCTTCACTAACGTAATTTTGTTTTGCATTGTCGCATGATTGTATGGTTGAAATAAATACAAGGAAGCATCCGAGTTAGTTTCCTTATTCCTTTCTTTCTCGATGTGTGATTATATATTCTCAACAGCTTGTTTGAATTCTTACATGTCTGTATGTTGCTTGTGTACATGAAATAATCAATATTATGTGTGTATCCATATAGTTAACTTTATCACTTTGCTATATTAAATTGTCTCTTATGTGTTATTACTTGCCTGTATTTTTCATTGTACTTAAACAGATTTAAACTTAATGGTTCAAGATGTTTGAAGAGTCGCCTAG